CACTTCGCTAGATCTTAATTACCACATGAGCCTGAGCCAAGGAGAGTGCAAACAACCTTTGCTAAATAGCAGAATAAACTAGGCTGGAAGGGGCTTTGGAGATTCTCCGGTCCAACCACACACAGCAGTGCCCAGTAGATGAGGATGCTCAGCTGAGTTTTTAATATCTCCAGGGTTGGATATTCCTCCACCTCTTAGATCCCAGTCTTTGATCACCATTATGAAGAATTTTCTCTAATACCTAAATGGTATTCTGAATGCTGCCACTTGTATCTGCCACATCTTAATGCTTTACTATACACTTCCGGGAAGAGTCTGTCTCTTTTTATACCATGCCTATACCATGTCCTAGACAATGATATGGATGACTCCAAATCTCTTCTCCATGATCAATGATTCCAGTGCTGTCATCCTCCCCTGCACATCATATGCTCCTATTTTGACCTATCATCTTGTTGCCCTTTGCTGGACTCACTCCAGTATGCCAGTATCTTTCAAGTCCTACACAGAATTCGATAATCCTTTTCAAGTAATTTTAAGTTACAAATAAATTGAAGGAAAAAAAATATAATTTACCTTTTTTTTTTGTTTGTTTCCAGAAAATTCTTAAATAATCACAGGTAAATGGGTTCACTGCCTTCAAATTCAATGCTTTTCTCTTCTATGAATCAAACATCACTACTTTGGTAATTTTCCATACAATACTTTGTCTTGGTCAGACCATAAATACCCTTTGTTAACAAGATCACTTTGACATTTTAAAATATATTTTTCTTTCTCAAAAAGGGCACAGAACAAATTAAAATGAGCCTTTTTAGAGAAAAATGATTAGATCATACAAAACAATGATTCTTCTTTCTTGCTAGAAACTCACACCTTTTCTGGGAAAATTTTCAAATGAAATAGTCTTGTTCATGATTTCTCTGTAACACACACCTGGATTTTTCAACCAGCTCCATTCCAAATGTTAATGTTGACCTGTAATTTTTTCTTCTGTCTGCAAGAAATGACTTTGTAAAAATGGAAGCTACAATTATTCGTTGGTAAGAGAAACTTCCAGTAAAAGTCTGCAAACTAATTTATTAACAAAAACCATACAAAAATTGTCACTAGGCATATTCAGGCTAGGAAAAAAGTAGAGGTGTTTAGCACTAAGTGGGATTAACTACTGGAACTCTTGCTGCTGGACAGGGTAGACCCTGAGTAATTTATAGTATCTAAGTCAAGTTTGGATGCTCCTCATGAAAGCATTCTCATCTATAACCAATAGGGTTAGACCAATAGACTTTGTTTTCAGTTCATTGAGTCAAGTTCGTTACCATCTCTCCTGCCTCAGCTCAGGCACTTTCCAGAGTGGTACCTGGATTTCTTTCCTTTTTTGTCCCCAGCAGAGAGAAGGCTGCAAAAAACCCCCTTGGAGATAACAACCGTAGTGTGAGGGACAGAAGGTAAAGGCTGATGTGTGCTGCAGATGTATTGGCTAAGGGTTCACCTAATGAATGCTCAACCACATGCATGTTATTTGTCACTCTTATGTTGCTTGGCTGTTCTTATTTCATCCAAGACTCTGACATCTGCCATGATCTTAGAATCATAGGATAGTTTGGGTTGGAAGGGACCTTCAAAGGTCATCTATTCCAAACCCCCTGCTATGGCCAGGGACATCTTCCACTAGATCAGGCTGTTCAGAACCACATACAGCCTGGCCTTAAATGTCTTCAGGGATGGTGCAGCTCAATCTCTCTATGCAACTTGTTCCAGTATTTTACCATCCTGATTGCAAATTAGGACTCGCCAGATTTTACTATTAAGACCGTATTTCACTGGAAAATTGTTATGAATCTGTACCCCAACTAAGTGACTATCAACCAGCTGAGAAGTAACAAACATGTACAGAAATCCTCAAGGACTACCATTATCTTTACTTTAGCTCCATCAATTTCCCTGGAGTTTCCCCAAAGGTAAATCTGATTCCAAAGTATTGTTGCTGAGTGGGTGAGTTCATGAGTAGGGTGGCTCTAGAAAGTTTTCCAGATCTCAGCAGGCTTTTATGCAAGAGGAAAATGTTACCTCTTTGGCCTTGACTGTGTTCTCACTTATACTGGTATGGTTTCAGAGGAGTGTCACTGAGTCAGATTTATACCTGTGTTACGTAGACACAAGCAAGAGAAGGATTGGGCAAACTGTTCCTAAAGCTCCAGTGGATTTGAGAGCCTTCTTCAGCAGCTTAGGTAGCTTTTCTTTCTATCCTTAGCAACACAGTCCTGATTAACCCTGCAAGCTGTGGTCAGTCATTTTGAGGACAGTTTGACTGACAGCATGTAACTTGGCAATGCATTTCCCTGCTCTGTCCAGTCCATTAGACCCTAGAGGTTGTTGGTTGGCTCTGTTGGGTTTGTTTAGTTGTTTTGTTCATTTATTTTTAATTTCTTGGATATTCTATAAGAAAAAATCATCTTGAGCAAGAGACATGAAGTATTTCAATGTAAGTATGAAAATATGCATTGAGACTTCTCTTGTAAATATCTGTATCTATACACTGTATCTATACACTATAAAAAGATGTATTTGGGCAAGATAACCATTTTTGTTGCCTTGCCAGTATGGTATAGAATCCCTTTACCATTCTGAAACTTCAAATGGACAATACAAAACTTCTCCGTGAAGGAACTGTTTCCATTTCATGCAAGGTTTGTGTGGAAAGCTTGCTTTTCACGTATGTACTACTTCTTAAAAGAAGACAGACCATCTAGGCCTGGGTGGGTAACCAACTCTATCACCAAAGACTTAAGGGGCAATATTCCTTTACACTGCTGATCCCTTAACAATCTTGTAAAATTATTCCTAAAGAAAATTAGTATTGGGAACATATGATACAATTTGTGCTGTTTTTTTTTTTTTCTTTACTTCTTACAGTATGATTTAAAAACTTGAAAAAAAAAAATAGAATAAATCTTTGGGAAGCAGTTAGATTTCTGGGAATGCAGCCAATATATTGTAGACCACCATTTGTCCAGGGACTACAATTTGGATAATGGATTTGTTTGGAAATTATGCTGCTGATATCTGAAAGCTATAATGTGGGACTCATGGAGAAAAAGCTAAAGCTACCTTTCTGAAAGCTGTTGAAAAATAGAGAAATTAGGTATGTTTTTTCCTGGAAGATAGGCTGATGGATTGACCTTTACCTGGGAAATAAATAAGTGAATAATCTCTTGGTGAAATATGTACATGAAGAGAATAAATCATATTGAAATCTTTGTCAGTGTGCATGGATATAAAAAAGCAGACATTTGTCAAAATAATAATCTTTCAAATTGTGCTTAATGTGTTTTCTCAACTAGCTGAGCTTAAACTTCCATTTATTGCAGGAGTGAATTTGCTGTCATACAAAGCGCACAAATATTTCACTTGAGAGTAGCACAATGTGAAAATGATGGTTTAGTTTTAAAATGTGGATAAAATCAACATTTACAGATTTTGAATGCTGCCCCTCTGTGATCAGTGACAAAACTCCCATGAATTACAGTGGTCACCAAACTGGTCCTTCAAAGAATAATTTGTGAGTAGCATGACAGTTTTCTTGAAACTAGAACTTTATTCAGCTGGTGCAAGGAGCAAACTGAAGGAAACTTGCTATTAGAAATACATTTATTGTTTTCTAACTCATTTGTGAACATTAAACTAATTTTTTTATTGTGAGAGACTTTTTTGAAGTTGCCATAAAAAACTGCTATCAACTACGAACATAATTTGAAAGTAATTTGAATGTGGGTGTTTGTAGCCAGAACCGTCTTCTGCGAGGTACAAGAAAAGCTATGGTACTCCTTACTAATTCAAGCAGTTTGCTGCCTATCTGTGAGCAGTAACTTCTAATCAGAAGATGACATCTCTAAATGCCATTTTTGAGAGTCTCCATTTAAGTTTAAATAATCAACTCAAAGTGAACTGTGGAGTAATTGCTCATACTAATGGAATAGACATCTGTCATACTCATTGCAGCCAATATTTTAGTGGGTTTTAAATAGTAGCGATGGGTTTTTTTTGACCCTGTCAAAACCAACATGTCTTCCTTTTTGGCATTGTATTTTCATTCAATTCACGGTCTGAATTTTTTAGTGGTTGACTTCCAAGACAATGCATTTGATAAGGGCAAGTAAGAAAGAGTAGTCCAGTTTCTTCTTCACTTGTCTCCACCATAGCAAAGACATTAAAAATACTTGGGCACCAAAAGGTCAGGTTCAACCACCAGACTTAAACATCAAAGTCAGCTTAGCTTTTAAAGTGAAGGATCCATCTGCTCTGACACAAAGTGTGCAGATTGCTCTCCTCAGGTTTGTCCTTACTGGGCTGATTTCAAATATTCCATTGTTTAGCAGAATCAACCTTTGTAGTTTTTTTTTCTGTAGAGGTCTTGTGATATTTCTTACTGTTATCTGTTTGCATAGCTGCCATGGATTTTCATTCAGACCTTACCTGAGAGCACTATGGCATGACCATGCCCAGCTGTTCTGAAACCAGGCTATTCTGCCCCTTGGTACGCTCAGGACTAGTTGTGTACAATTTGCAGTCACTAAATGAACCAACTCAATAGGGTTTTGTTCTGCACCACTTCATGGGGTTAAAGGGTTGCATAAGAGTATTGGTGCTCTTCTTGCAAAAATAAAACTGAAATAATCACTGGCTCTGATAGTTTCAGAGAAAACCTCAAAAATATAAGCAAGGAAGATACAAAACTGACAACAATATACAAATATCAGGTTTTGTGGGTTTCTCATGGGGTCTGACTCATTCTTTTTGTGTCTCAGAGGCTGTTAATTTGCACTGAATTTGCACTGGCATCTGCAGAACAAGTATGGTTTAACTGTGAGGACCAATGAGCTCATAACTCCGTGTCAGTACAATCTGATTGTGATCAAGCATAGACGGTAAAACTGTTGTGAGGAAAACAAATGTTGCATGACTCAAACAAACACTACTCTATTTATTTTCTCTTGTAGCTACCATTAAGCAAGAGGGATGACTCAGATACCTGCTGACTACCTGTCAACCACCAGCTCCTACAACTATGAGCAGCCCCTTACCTCTGTGGCTCGGACAAGCACTGTCACCAAGGTACTTCCAGCCAAAAAAATAACCTTCTTCAAGAGTGGAGATCCTCAGTTTGCAGGAGTCAAGATGGCCATCAACCAGCGAAGTTTCAAGAGCTTCAATGCACTCATGGATGACCTCTCTCATCGGGTCCCACTGCCATTTGGGGTACGGACCATCACCACCCCACGGGGAATACATTGCATCAGTGAGCTGGACCAGCTAGAGGATGGAGGATGTTACCTTTGCTCCGACAAGAAATATGTCAAGCCTATTAGCATTACTTCTGGGGGACACAGGCCAGGCCCTCCACGAAGCGGTCGTCCCTCCAGTACCTTGAGAAGAGCAGCTCAGGAGGGCAAGTTTGAAGATTATTCCACACCTTTCACTCAGCATGGCCCCAGAATACCAAAGAAGATCACACTAGTTAAAAATGGAGAAAGTGGTTTTCGTCGATCAATCATCTTGAACCGCAGAAATGCCAGGAGTTTCAAAACACTCCTGGATGAGATTTCTGAGATCCTGCAGTTCCCAGTGAAGAAGCTCTACACTGTTGATGGGAAGAAGGCAAGTATCTCTGATACCTGGTGCTGGTCAGTTATTCTAACAGGTATTATCACATCAATGTTTGCATTCCCTATGATGCCAATGCTTTAGCTCATGGGGCCAGTGCTTTATCCACATCATCTTAATCCTTTGGGCTTGTGTACTTACTTCCCCTTTAATTACATGAAGGGATGATGTAGAAGAATCTTGTTCAACCATTCAAGAACTTCATACATCAGATACTGTTTTAGGTCAATGGCATGCAACTTCTGACAGAAGTCCAGAAGCTCAATGTTTTGCAGCTGGGTATAAAACCTCAAATAAATGTCTAATAATGGGGTTTCCCACCCTCTCCTAGGAGGAATGTCCCAACAGAGGCTATACCTAACAACTGGAATTCAACAGAATAACATGGCCCTTTGGTGGCATCTTGCAGTTGCATAGGTCCTAGCAGAATAGGGTCCTGCTCATGATGTGGCAGCGTCAGCATTATGGTAATATAAGTAATAAATGCATAAGTAATTAAGGTACGAGTGGGATCAGGAGATACATCTGTACTGATGACTTGGTGAATGTGCCGATTAGGATTGACTTACAATAAATTCAGGGCATGACAACTCCTTTGTTCTTCTGCTCCCAAACTAATTTCCTGACAAAACTAAGATTCTCCTTATTTCTTCTCCATCTCCTTGTGATGCAGACTAATTTGTATTTCTATTTCTTCTGAAGAGGTCTCACATGTTAGCCTGACTTGTCCCTGGCAATGCAGCTGAGCAGAGCAGTTACCCTGCTCCTTGCCACTTTTTCCACCTTTACAGTACTGTGTGCCAGCTCCTCAGTGGTAACATTACAGCCATTTGTGGTGTCACATTCTGAAGCAGATGACTGACGTGACTTGGGTTCAAATGACCCACTATCCAGGAGGGGAAAGAGTGTGGAGGAGTGTATTTAGCCCAGATAATTTTGACCTGGAAAAGGGACAAGAGTGTGCAGCTATTAAGGAGAGAGGGAGGGGATAATGGTGCCTGGAGCTACCTTTCCTGGTGGAGGCAACATGTCATCACAGTGCTTTCTATTTGCCTACCACTCTGGAAAGAGCTTCCTGTTCTCAGCTGAAGGATCCAAGGAAAAAGTCCTTTTTGAACATCCTGCTGCTTAAGCTTTCCCAGCCCTACTGGTCCAGAAGCTAAAAGAGTGTCAAGCTGACTGCAGTAAGAGATGAGATGAAATATCAGGGAAAGGATTTTGCCACTCCACATATGCAGGTCAAATGAAACTGCAATCTTGCTGAGAAACTGAGGGTTTATGAAAAGGGACCCAGGAACAGGAAAGAAAACTTAGCTGTGGGCAACCCAAGCATGGCCTAGGAAAAACAAATAGATAATTCATCTCCCCAAACTTTTTGACCTAAAAGTCAGTTGGCTAAGTCCAAGATAAGCAAGCTGGTTACCTTATTGAGGGATTTGTCTTTTCTAAGTGTGTCTAGAGCCTGTGTTTCTCCTAGTAACAGAGTAAAAAAGAAAAGGCTCACTTGCAGGCAACTGCATGGTAATAGGCAAGACAATTCCATGCCCTAGGCTATTTCGGCAGTCAATGGAAAGAAATAGGTACTTCAGACAGGTACTTTCCAAGTAACTATCTAAATGACTGTGGATATATGGAGCTGGATTAATTTCAGATTCAGCTACCTGCATGTCAGTGTCTAAATGTTTCCATAAGTGACTAAAGTGGGTAAGCCCCCATATAGCTGTTGGGACTAAGCTGACAGTCCAATGAACTTGGAGCTGATCAAAGAAAGGTGTCTAGATGGCTTCAGAATCAGTTAGATTATTTTTTTCATTAAGTTTCTATCCATTTATTTGCAAGTTTGCTGTGTACCACAGCTACAACTGTTCTACTAAAAACATGTTACAGCAGGACCTCATCCTTCTCTTCTTCATCGTGTGAAATTCTTAGCATCTTCCCTGGTTTGGTCTTGGCCCAGAACAGTGTCCCAACAGTTTAGATTTAGGGCCAGGGAGTATTCACTGTAAGTAGATTGGATTTGGCCAGTCTGTGTTTGAGCAACCAGGCTATTTCAGTTGACCTCTATTCTGAAGAAAAGAGTCTGGCACTGCTTGTTTTACTACTACATATGCATCCAACTCAAATTAAGAAAAAAACAAAACAAAAGCCAACCCTAATCCTGCTACAAAGATGTGTTATAAATTATGGATAAGTATTTTATTTTGTTACTGATCGCTCCAGTTTTCAAGACTTGGACTCCTGTTCAGTCCACATGGAGATAATAATCTTGGCTAGTGGTAGTGGCTTCCTCTTCAGTTCTTACATTTTTGAGACTTTTCACTCATTTCTCTAATGGAAAGTTTTGCCTTCTGCTTTCTAACGCAGTCTCAATGTTCTCCTTGTGATTCTTAAATTACTTTCCCACAATTTTCCTTCTATTCATTTTAAGCACCAATATTTTATCTGAGATATGTACTAAGATGTACTATTGTCAGTATTCAACCTTCATCCTTCTTTCCATATAAATGTATATGCAGTTATTTTTTACATTTTTGAGCTCTGCAGTAATGGTCACCCTGTTTTCTGTTCTCTCAGAGTCATATTTCATTCCAACGTGCCAATATGTAGCAAGACACAGCTAGAATGACACTGGTACTAACTGACCAGAAGCGGTCACTGTGGAGTATTTGAAGTTGATGGCACCTACTCAGTTTTGCATGCTAACATCTTTGCTGACAGTTTAAGTGATAGTTAGGTAGGTCTCATCAGGAGACAATCAATACCTTCATCACATGCTTTGCGTCCCCACTCTCAGTTCAACCTCACTTGCATCCCCACAAACAGTGAGGTGTTTAAGTATTTGGGCACTGATTTCAGCAGGGCCAAGAGCTCTTCTTCCCAAACTAAACATGACTTGTGTTGTCAGTTTTCAAATCTAAAACTGATTTTAGATTTACAAAACCAGTAGCTAATAAGATGACCATGGGATTGAAAAGAAATTTAATTTCAGCTTAGAAAAATCAGTTAAATTTTCAGCAAGTGAAAACTGTAGATCATGTAGTTTTTTTCAGGTCAAGCCACTAGTTATTCTTTTCCAGAAAAATAAGTGTAAATAATGCCCAAATAGAGAGAAATCTGTTATTTAAGGTAACACTGACATATCATTAACTTGCCAGTGAAACTTTGTGCAATTTTGTGCACTTAAAGATAGACAAGTCTGGATTTAATTTATCTAAATTTGATCAGCTCATTAGGCATTTAGGATGGGTGTGTGTGTGTCATATTGCCTGCTGGTCTCTATTCGGTAACTATAGAAGATCAGAAGACTGGCTCAGACTAGACCTAAAATTAACCTAGGCCCAAGTTTTCATCTATTTAAAGTACTCAAGATATTTAAATATTAGTAAAAGTAAGACATGGGAGTTTACATCTGAAGATCAGTTGGCTAATGAGACAGTTGAAAATTACAGCTTTCTTAGTTTTTACTAGGGACATCAGTTCTACACAAAAGAAGAATGAGTTGTGCTACTAAGCGCAGTTATCATGATAAAAAAAGGTAGAGTAAAATTTGTAGGTTATCTTCACCATCAGATGGACTTTCACTTCTGTTCTGGGAAATACTTATACAACTTAGTGGCTTTTCATTCTCCATGATCTGAGTCACTGAACATACCTATGCGCAGATCCCTTCTGCCTGCCTCTGGGAGAGGGAAGAATTCCCCTAGGGGCAAAGAGGCAGACAGAGATCATGGAAAGGCCAGAAATCCTCACAGACAAACTGTAAGAAATGACGTGTAGGATTGCACGACAGCAACTGCACAGCGAGAGGATTTCCCTTACTAATGGCAATTATCCAGGGCCCACCAGCTGGACAGTCATTGAGACTTCTTTAAGTCACAGGAACCCAGCAACATGACTGTATGTCTAGTCACAGATGTCCTATCTCTGCACTTACTCGTGAATCATGAGACCTTCATTTTACTGGCTGTCTTAAATTAAAACAAAACCAAAACCAAACTCTTCCTTAAAATCCAATACTACTCCTTGTATGGTGTTTGAAACCACATTGTGTTATGGCAAATAGTGTACATAGTTTATGGCTACTGGTCACAGTTATCATAAGCTTCTCAAATGGGATTTGTCAACCATCAGTACAGTTTTCCAAGGGATGTGGCTAGTTTTATATTTGTTGGAGTCAGGTCAAAACTTAGATGTATTTTTGCTTAGGCGCACTCAAGGCTGCCCGTAAGTTGTTACACTTAATGCGCGAATCTGATTGAGTCTGTTATGAAGAAAGGCAGAGTAGATGACCAGAAAAACTCTTTTCCTTAGACGCTACAAGTAAGAACATTGCAGAATGAACACTGTATGAAACCAAGCTTCCTTGAGGGATCAGACAATTACTGTACAAGTTAATCAGGGGAGTGAAGGAATGCTTTCTCAGGCACCACTAATTGGAGACTGTAAGGGATTAGTTATTAGAAACTCCTTGGGGTAAGTACCTCATTTTTCTTCTATGTTTGTGTAGAGTTTGGAGCAAGACACACAAGATGTGGCAAGACTAACCATTCTGGGTCAAATCAAGTCATCTTTGGCAGTGGACAGTCTTGGAGAAAGACAGGAGGGCACATATGCAATGTTTCTTTCCCCAGTGATCTTCCCAGTCTGCAGCAACCCGTAGGTTAAATCTTCCTCAGCCAGAAGTAGCACCATGGTAGCTTCTAGCAGACAGAATAATAGCAGGGCATATGCTGGCCTTGACACTACATGGCACTCTCGATACCTATTTATACTATGTAGCCTGCAAAATAGGGTCTAATTCCCACAGCCTCTAAAATCGGGTGGCCACATTCAAGCTACTTCTTAGAAAAGATCTGTGTCATATGTTAAATCCCAGATGTGCCCAGGAATTGCTTGGGATCATGCCAGTTGATCCAGGCTTTAAATGCACTGAAGACCATTCTAACAATTTAACAGTACAGGCAACCCTCTTCCAGTGCCCTGGACCCAGAATT